ATAAATCTTTTTTCCTTTATCTTTGTATAGCACATGTGGTGTGTTTGAGGTACTGTGCCATAAGATTGTTAGATAACAAGGTCATGGACTTTGAAAGTACAACATAACCCTTTTTCCGACCCCTGCTTCTCTTCTGAGTGTGCTGGGTAGAGGGAGAAGGAAGACAGATGTGTACCCAGAAATGCAGTGGCCAGACAGAACGCAGACCCTGTACCCAGTGCAGCTCCACCAGCCAGCAGGACATGCCTCACTGGCACTGTTCTCCTCAGTTAGCAGATGGAAGAGATCACTACCTGCTCCCTGAGTGATAAGAGGAGGGAACCCATGAGATAAACAGTATTCCTGCCAGCTGATGCCTTTGCCTCAGATGCTGCACTTGAAAAATAGGATCATGTACCCTACTCATTTGGGTGACTCACAAAGTCAGCAAAGTATTTAATTTGGGGTGGGGAGGATAATTAAGAAATACGTTGTAATTTTATTTAATAGCTAGTTTTAATTAAACTATAGATTAGAAAGAAATGGGAAAACATTCAAGTAGGTAACAAAAGGGCAGAAGATTAAATGGGAAAATAGAGTCTATGTTCCTCAAAATATTTAAAACATTTTCTAGTTATCATTTAATGTCAAATATCATTTTAAAAAATGAAATAATGTTTGATAAAGTGAATGTTGTTGTCCCTGAGGTTATTGATACATCTTGAAAAATGTCTCCAAGGCTGAACCATTCCTGCTGTGTAGCCACATGAGTCTACATTTTATACATGTTCCTCCAAGCTTCCTTCTGTCACCCCTGCCTTTCCAAGATTGGGCCCTTTCACAGTCTGGCAAAAGTTGGAGGTTATTGACATTCTTCAGAATTTAGCAGGAACCTTGCAGGACCCAGAAAAGCATCTGAACTCATCATTAGACTTGTTATCAAATGAGTGACCCTTCTAAAAAGTGAGTGAGGATGAAAAAGGAGCAACAGAGAGGCAAATGCTGATAGAGTGGGTAGTATTCTCAGTGTTAGAAGGCTGGGACTTACCCCCAAAGACAGTGGCTCCCTTTAGTATGTGAATCGAGAACTGCACAGAGGTCCTTGCTCACCTAAGGATCAGCTAAATGTGATGTCCAGCTCAGGCCAGGTGAACGGGGTGGTAACTAGAGTTTCAGTGGCCTAGGGGACTGGGCTGCCATAGACGTGCTAAAGGGAATGGAGAATAACTGACCCAGTGGGGTCTAGAATGTAGATAACATGCAGTGTTGTTTTGTTCAATGGTAAGAGGAGATAGACGCAAAACTGGGGAGCCCGGGCTGAGAGAGGACTCATCTGATATATTCTGTATGCACGGCAAACCCAGTGCTTTCCTGGAGAGCAATTTTGACCAGCCATGAAAGGAGGACAAGCACCCTGGGCCCTGGTTGGAAAACAGTTTCATTTGTCTCAAGGCCCAGGGTGCTGAATTGGTGTTTTCTGGCTCCGTCTAGAGGTGGGATGACAGTAGATTATCCAGAACCATGAATTCAGTCCAGCGAGAAGAGGCGCACTTAGCTGAAAAAGGAAGCAACCAGGCTCCTAAGGCCTCACCTCACGCCTGAGTGAGCACCGTGAGGTTTACCAGCACACAAGTTAATTTGTACTCGGAGATTGCTTCACGTTCTACAATAGTCAAGATTAGCTTTGTCCTTGACTGACCTTAATGTGTGCCTGGGCATGGCCAAGGTTATGCCATGGAAACAAGCGCCACTGAATCCTGAAAGTCTGCCCTTTTTGGCTTGTGGATCCTGGAAGAACACCGCTGGGTGTTATATTGCTTCACGTCAGGTGCAGCCAGTGGCAAGGTCTACTCCAGAAAGACCAAGGCTGTGGGCTTGAGGCCTCCTCGCACCTCTTCCTCTAATCGGAGTGAAGTTTTCTTTTCTTCCCCTGGAGAATAGGCACTCAGGTGCTCATCTGAGGGAGGCTGCACACCTGATCTCCCAATGTGCAGAGAATCAGGGTGCTACTGGCTCTTCCCTGGTGGACCAGCCAATTCCTAGGCCTTTTGAGACTCCCCACTCTAAACTCTCCTCTGTGTGACACACCACAAGTGGCATAAAGTGTCCTTTCCAAGTAAAGCTAGTCTATCTCAGTAATCCTGTGAAGTGTAAATTAGATTTTATGAGAAGAGAAAGCCTGCCACAGATTGTAACCTCTCAAAATCATTTGGAGCCACAGTACCTATAAAAGACCGCCATGATTTGCCATCTGTAAAACTTCACTGACAGTAACGGCCTGGACATATTTAATTTCGTATAAGCAATGATGAAACATTCATATTATCATGCCTGTCGGTTTGTCGGAATCTTTCAATCTTCTAAAGCATTGTCCTTTTTTGTTTTTTGGTAATCCTATACATTTCTGTCAAAGAACTGGATGTTTTATTTATAAATGCTGTTTGCAACCTGGCTCCCTCTTGCTTGATGAGAGATTCTGCCTATCACCTGTACCTTTGAACATGCCCTTGTTCTGATGACAGAACCTGGCAGCCTGTCGTAGGAAGACCAGGGTGATGTGTGAGCCAGGTAGCTGGAGTGCCCGGCATCCTCCATCCTTATTTGCTTACTTCTCAGCTGTAGATCACTTTGCCCTGCAGTGACTTTTATAAATGTTATTTTTTTTCTTCCCAGATGGCCCTTTTATGTTACACTCCGTGTCATACATGGATATTTCCTTTTACTCAAAAACTTCTCTCATGTCTGAAATATTTTAACCTCCTTCCCTTTGTTTTGGCTTTATTCTCAGTGACTTCTAAAAAGTCACCAATAAACCTTATTTCTTTCACTCTGTGAACTATTTGTACCCTTCTGACTCTACAGATATTGTTTCTGAAACTTGATTTTAAGGTTCCTGCAACTTTGGGTCTTGCTTTGTGTTAAGGACCATGCATAAAGTAGTGCATCTTGGAAGGTATTAAGATGGAAAATTGGGCACGCTTTGTCTAAATAAGTGGGAGTTCATTTAGCAATTGTTACCGATACGGAAGTAGAAATTAAAAATAAAAATGTTAGCAACATAAAATGTCTTAAAGGTTACAGAATGCCTTTCCCCCCAATTCTTTAGTGAACCCTGTTGCTATGGCCCTTTAAAAGGAAAGTCTCGTTCTCATCCTTGATGCCTCCTCACTCACTCTTTTTTTCTCATTTAAATCACAGACAGTCTGGTTTTCACCATATTAAAGCAAATCAACCTAGTAAGGAACAGACTGACTTTTATTTACTGGCTGTAGTTCTAAGCACCAGAAATGGGCAAAGGAGACCAAACAAAGAAATAGGAAAAATGAGGCATTGAAGGGGAGCCAGCGTCGGGTTTGGAAGGGATAAGGCTTCCGTGGCGGCAGGATGTGCTTTTCTTGCTCTGTTTACTCTGAGCTCAGAAATAGAGGAGGAAGAAGGTAGATCACGCCACAGCCTGAAATGGATACAAAACATACTGGGGCGTGCAGAGCGTGTAATCAGACACTGGATGTAATTATGCAAATGTATGTATACACGGCTTTCCTATGAATAAATTGTCTGCAGCACCCTTAATACTCAAGGTTAAAGTAAGCAGAAGGCACCGTGACTTCGCTCCAGTAGCAGCTGAGAAATGTTAGCCTTACTGTTTGCACCTGAATTACCCTGAGCCCTTGGTAAAATGAGCTTTGAATCTTAAAGAACTTCTGCTCCCTTCCTGCAAAGGGCACCCCATTGCTGGGGAGGGGAGGGTGGGGAAGGGTTAGGGTGAGGATGAATGTGGCATGATTGTGTTTCATCTCTTCACCCTAGTGATGCTTCAGGCTAGTTGTATATATATTTTAGTCTTAATTAAACTTCACCTGGCATGTCTTTTAGTGGTAAGCGTTTGGAGGCCCACTTAAAGGAAGGAGATGTTTAAATTTGCTGAGGAGAAAAAAAAATGCTTTCTTCTTTCTTTATAAAATAAATCGAGAACTTCAAACATACTTCTGAGGGCCCTGGGCACAGCCATCTGATTAGAATGCTGGGATACATTCAGTGTTAGCATGTGGTTTTCTTTGCATGAAAATAGATAAAATGCTGTGGATTGTGGGTATGAAATATTCGTTCTAGCAAACTGCAGATGAGAGTATTTCATGCCTCTGAGCATGGCACAGCACAGTTTTTTCTCACTCGTAGGTCTATTAAGAGAACTTACTGGAGTGTTTTCTTTTTACTTCAAGGAATTTGAAGCATCGTATAAGGCTAGGAAGGCATTAACAATTTACTTCCAGTCTCATAAGACACTTAAGAGTAGCTGTAATACATGTAAATGAATTCAACCGATGTTCCAAGTGCTTATCAGACATTGATCGCCACTCTGCAAGCATTGTTGGGACCCCAGACTACCCATAGCGCTGTTATGAGGAAAGCAGGTGTGGGCAAGATGACTCAAGCGCATGTGACCAATATTTAGGGATCAGTGAACAAACAGCGCACGATGGCTGGAATGTTAATGTGTGGGGATTGGTGGCTGCTGCAAGGCGGGAGAGGAGAGACCTAAGACTAGGGGAGGCCTTTCTGTGGGACGCTCAGCCGCATGGCCTGGCCCTCAGGTGCTTGGCAGCTACTGGAAAAGGCTGTGCATTTCCAGAGCTAGCCATCCCTCCGCGGCTGCAGACTTATTCTCAGTTGGTCAGATTGGGCGGTTTGACCAGCCCAAGTGAGGAAGATCGTAGAAATAGTGCATTGCCTTGTGCCCGAGAGGAACTTCTTTATGTTATTAACCAAAGCCCCTTTAGAAACACCACAGGGTCAGGGCATTCCTTGTCTCCATTACAGAATATTCTGTAGGTCCTTTACGTTACAGATGACGTGTCATTGTAGTGCACTCGGAAGTGCAACATGAACACTTCCCCAGACTCTTTCCTACTCTTGGTTTTGTTCATCCACACTGGGAAATTAAACAATGACTCAAAATGCCCTTCATTTTCTTATAGGTATTAAAAAAAATTATATGCATTGTTTCACTTTTCTTTTAGGGAAAAAGAAACAGTGGTTTCAGACAGTGCTTCTTTGGGAGCCAGAAGCATTGCAAGCTGACAAAGCTGTGTCCAGCAGTGGGGTACACGTTCAGGCTGGCTGCCCGGAACGACATCGGCACCAGGTATGTATGGACTTGCCTTGTCCTCATGTGTGTGGTGATTCGGAATTTTCCTCTCACGTTGCTGGAAGGCAGGAGGACGCCCACTACCTCCACACTGAACCAATTGGAGATTTTCCAAGGGCATCTTACTCAGAGGGCCGGGTGCCCCTTCTGAGGCGATACATGGCGCTGTGTGGCCTCTTTGCAGCCTGCAAGCTGTAGTACAGAGGCCCCACGAGGGGTCTCTGAGAACCAAGATGAAGGTGACAGACAGTGCACACTTTTGAAAGGAACCCCTCTTGGAGCTTTATTTTTTCAGATCCTGTGCCTTTTTCTTGCATCACTTTAGCAAACTGCTCATTCCGTTGCCTTTTTCAATTATATGTATTTCCTGACACAAAGAAAGGGGTGCTGGGCCAGCCGTTGTTGTCAAGCGGAAGGCAGATATTCACAGGATTGGAAGAAATCTGGGCCGTCTAGGACACCGCGGCTTGGAGGCCGCAGGAGAAAGGCAGGATCAGGCGCACAGTAAGCGTCAGTGGATTGAAGATGCTTTGAAAAGACCGTATTTCAGTTGTACTTCCTGGGTAACCCTTGATTAAGGGGAAAATTTTATTCTTTCATCGCTGCTTGTTGAAATCTTAAAGATTCAGCACATCATTGGTCCCCAACTGTTTCTTCCATCCTAAAAAACTTCTTAACGTCGAAAGGTTTTATAGCCCTCCCTCCTCACCCATGATAGCCATTTTATTTTTAGAGTCCACTGGTGCAAAAAGTCATGATGTTAAAGGCTCCTATGGTTCAAGGATTTGTAAATGATTGGAAGCTCCCCCAAACTTTTGAAGATTCGCACTGTACATATTCGTAAAACATTTACTTCATCAACAGACATCATTTGTGCTTACATTTACTTGAAGGCTGTTAGTAGCTGTGGCTCATAGCTTGGTAAACATTGCACTATGTTTTGCTTTATGCTGGGTGCTTTGGGGATAAAATAAATTCTTAAATATATTCTCCTATAATGTGGTATGTTTTTTTTTTTAGTAGCAGACTAAAGGGGGGCACCGGCAAATCAAAGGTTGTGGTAGAGAACATCACACAAAGCCTTCCTCTGCCTGCTGAACCTGTCAGGCCCCAGGCTTGCCAACCCAAGCAAGCTGGGCCGTAGGCAGGGTGATTCTTCCTCTTTTAAAATGCTGAGGCTACTCACGTGCTCCTACACATATACCTCACGGAGTTTATTTCTCCACAGCGGTTATAGCCAAGAGGTGGTATACTACACATCAGGCAACATCCCTCAAATGCCCTCTGCCCCAAGACTCGTGCGCGCTGGGGTCACGTGGGTCACGTTGCAGTGGAATAAACCAGAAGGCTGTTTGCCCGAGGAAGTGGTCACCTACACCTTGGAAATCCAGGAGGATGAAAATGTAAGTTTTTCTGATGTTATACTCTTGGTGTGTGTTCTGTATACATCAGTGTTGTCGTAACTACAGGACACCCAATAAACAGATTCGCTACATAAATTCAAAACTCTTAATTTGAATCACTCCCACCACCAGCAACAACCTGTCCTTCCCAGTCCTCCCACCTCAGTAAGTGTCCTACCAAACCTTTCGTTTGGGGACCCAGAAACCCTTGGAGTCGTCCTTGACCCCCTATGTATAATCAGTCAGCAAATCCTTTTAAATCTTCCTGCAGAAATTATTCAGAAGTCTCGCTATTTCTCAGCATCTCCATAGCTACCACTCTTTTACAAGCCACCATCATCTTGCCCCTGAATTATTGTGGTGGCATCTGAAATGTTTTCCTTGCCGTCACCCTTATTGCACTAGTGTCTGTTCTCCACATGAAGCCTGAGTGGTCCCGTTAGATGAAACATGATCGTGTCTGTGCCCTGCTCACCCTTCCCACCTCGGTGCCTTCCCCTCTCGTCCACATAGAAACGTGAGCTCTTACAATGCCTCTAAGGCCCTACAGTATTAGAGTCTTCACTGCCTCTGTTCCTGCCCCCGGTGTCTCCGCAACACACCAGGCATCTCCTGGCCTCAGGGCCTTTGCACTTCCTAAGCCTTGCAGCTGGAGGGCCCTTTCAGATGTCTTTAACTCAGTTCCCTCATTTCCTTCAGGTCTTCTCACGTGGGTCACCTCTTTGGAGCGCCTCTCCCTGACCCCACTAAAACAGCCCTGTCTAATTGAACTTTCCTTGATAATGGAAATGTTCTATAGCTTGTGCTGCCCAATATGGTAGCACCCAAACACACGACTGTTGAGCACTTGAAATATGGCTGTGGGGCCCAATGAACTGAATTTTTAATTGTATGTAACGTAAAAAGCCTCATGTTGGCTGCCTTATTTAACCTGCACAGCTACAGAAAGCAGCACTTTCCTAGGTCCACCATTCTATCCTTTTACCTAGCTTAATTTTTTTTGTCACATGGCACTTAACACGATATGACATGCTGCATATTTACACATGTTTTGTTTTATTTTTAAATCAGTTTCTCCAACTGGCATGTAAATTTCTTTGGGCAAAACTTTGTTCTTAGGCAGAGCTGAACCCTTAGAGTGTAGAAAAGAGAGCCTGATTCATAGCGGGTGCTCAGTAATATTGGATGATGGATGGATGGATGGATGGATGAGAATACTATTGAATGAATTCTGTACATTCAGCTTTTAGTGGACATTTATCCCCTTCCACTTAGAGGATCATGCCTTCCCTATCCAAGCTGCCCTTCCTTCCTTGGCCAGAAGAGGTCACTGTTGGTCAGACATCTCAGCCACAGTTTATTGCATAGCACATTGCAGCTTGACAGTGAAGACCTTTATACAAGAGGCTTTTTTCATGACAATATTATATAAAATTTTGTATTAGTACATACTGCTTTGTCACATAGTACTACTTGGCGGTTAAGTTCTTTGTTTAAATGCTTACTGAGTAATCAGGGAAAGTTTACTCTTGAGAAAAGCATATGGGGGCATCTATTCCAAAGCAAATTTACAGTCAGAGAGCATTGTTCGCATTTATATTAGTATTAGCCTCACAATACGGTTGAACAGACCCAGGAGAAGTGACAGTGTGATACAGTTAAATTTTTACTGAACGCTAGCATGCTACACACAGCACCACAGGCTTCTGACACTATGTTCTGCAGTAGCTGCCAGGCCCCTGGCCAGGTGGTGATGGAAAGAGGCAATATAAAAATCCTACATACAAAGGTGTGTAATGCCCAGACTTTATGGTACTGATATTTTTTTCTGGCTTTGCCTTTTCAGGATAACCTTTTCCACCCAAAATACACTGGAGAGGATTTAACCTGTACTGTGAAAAATCTCAAAAGAAGCACACAGTATAAATTCAGGGTGAGTCAGCCATTTGGGCACCAGAGCTGCTTTCAAAAGAAGCTGTTTTATGTTTCACCCATTTGCTGTTTCAGATCGACTCTCTAGGTTAAAAAATTTGTTTTAAGTTTAGTGCATTTACATCTTTAAAGTAACATAAAGTGTACACCATTCTTTAATTTTAAAATCCACGTTTGAGAAAGAAAACTGTCATAATGTGCTGTAATAAATTGTATTACAGCCTGGCCAGATGGCCTCGCCTGGGAAGACCCAAACCAAAACGCCCAGTGCACCTGCCCCTCACCTGCATGTCACACCTGTCTCTGTGGTGGTTCTCCTTTTAATCAGATTGCTCTTTTACTCTCCATTTTCCTTTGCTCTTCTACCCATTCCCACCACCCTCCACCCCGACCCCGGCCATTTTTCTTTTTCTTTGGTTACCTCTCCCTCCCCACTTAGGCTTTGCTTTGGTCATCGACAACCGCCATGAATGTCACTGTGGGGCTTTATGTTGTAGCCAAAAGCAGTGCTTTGTAACCTAAGAGAGAAAGGACAGTATGCTGTAGCACTGCTTCCGACCCTGCGTGCAGCATGTGTTTTCCAATGGGACCATGTGCATTTGGGGAGACAAAGATCCACCCTCCCTTCGCTGCTTGTCATGTAGTCATCACTCAGTGAACAGCTGTCAAATTATCAAGTGGAGCTGATGACTTGTTGAGGAAAAGGATAGTTTTCAGTATTTTTTAAAAACCCTTGTTGTTTGACCCTGGCTATGAGAACACAGCTGTACTGCTAGCATTTCTCCACAAGGTGGCATTGCTTTCCTCTTAAATGAATGAGATTATTCTTAACCTGCTTTCTCCCCTTTCCATGTTTTTCCTTCCACAAAATAGTAAGAACTAGGGTGATGATATACTGGTTTTGTTTTATGTCTTCTTGAAAGGGTAAAAGTGTCCTTAGCTAAAACCCACCTTATTTTATTATTAATAGCCAACTATACAGAAAATAAATACTTCATAAAGAAACTCATCAATCAGTAGTTTGAGATAGAGAAAGTGTGTATGTGTGTCTGTGTGAGTTTATGGATGCCTTGATCTTGCCGTGTTAAAAAGTCACTATTGATTTAATACCTAATATCTATAACATGTTAATGTTTTCTTGGTTGTGTTATAGCTGACTGCTTCTAATATGGAAGGGAAAAGTTGTCCGAGTGAAGTTTTGGTGTGTACAACAAGTCCGGACAGGCCTGGACCTCCCACAAGACCCCTCATTAAAGGACCAGTTACGTCTCATGGCTTTAGTGTCAAATGGGGTATGTTTCGCTACCGTTGCTTCTTTTTTTGACATATATTTTAAATGTATTAAATTCAGTAATGACAAACCAAAATAAAAAATAAAAGGGCAGCATTATGTGCGGGAGTTTTATACATTTGGAATATACATATGAGAAATATCCAGAGAACTCTACGTATAGATAACATGGACCATTTTAAGACCATCTCATTTTATGACTTTCCTGTGTTCCATGTTTTTCCTCCTATATTTTTTAATGTGTTATTGATTTGAAGGTAGTAGTCTCTGAATGTATATTTCATTCTTCAATAGCTTGCCTTTAAGGAAAGTAGTCATATTTAATGCAAGAAAATTGATTTATAAAGTTAATAGTGAAAATAAATTTCAAAATTTAGGTATGTCATCCTAAGTAAATTTTGGCATACAGAATGTTTAAGTTAACATGAATTAGAAACACTTTAGTTTTTGTTACTGTTTGTATGTGACCAGAAGCCTTGAACTTGAGAAATGTTTCATACTGAAGTTCAGCATATGGTGTTTGGTGGTATCTGGTTAAAGGATGTTGTGTCTCACTCTGCTGCATGTGTTATTTCAGTGAAGTGAATGCTATTAGAATGTTGATAAACATCAGAGATTATATGTAAAACTGTTATGTATATAATTGTCACTAATGTATAATAATATAAGCTACCCAAAAAGCAAAAATAAAAGTAGAAATTTCAAATAAGATTTTACATGGCAGGCAAGAAATGTAAAGGGAATTGAAAACACTGTTAAATCATTATTGGAGACACCAACCTCTGAGACATATAACTGTTTCACGTTACCTAATTTTGAGACAGAATTATTAGGCTCTGTATTTCCCTGGAAGGTGGATATGATTAAGAAAAACTATGAAAATCTAGATGTGCTTTTTGCCAGACTGTAAAACTTTTTTCTCCGAAAATCCTAGAAAGTTCTATTAACACTGAATATTTACTTTCGTTAGCCATATGCTATCATATTTAACGTTATAATTATTATTTTAAATAACTTACTGAAGTATACATACATTAATGGAAATACCAGGTGGAAGGAGAAGGGAAGTAAATTTCCTAAATCTGTATCAGTCATTTGAGAGTATATGTAAAATACAGAGGCGGCTGACTGATAACAGAGGTAAATTCTGCAAAGTCTTGCAAAATTACAAGTCAAGATATTTTTCTGCTCAGAACTCCTGCAGGCACAGTTACCAGTGACTAAATCCGCAGCGTGCCACAGCTCTGGTCATCAGCTGGAACCTCCTCCTCAGACTTCCTCCTCAGTGCATGTTCTCATTGATGCACAACTCCAGTTTTACATCTTTCACTTGGGATATCAAGTTTGCTTAGTAGCAAACGGTGATGGAACAGATTTATGACATTCTGATGTTTTATTTATTTTGTCGACACATTTTGCATTTCTCTTTCCTTCATTCTCCATCTCTCAAAAGAATCTGGTCATTGATGATATAAGTAAAGTTTCTAAAGGAATATATAAATATTTCATCTTACATTAAAAAAAATCACTAAATATTAAAGAGCAGGTTTCAGGATTCTCAAAGTAAATTTATTAATATAACCCTTAGAAAAAATCAATTCATATTTTGAGTTTTTCCTCATGTTTCACTAAATAAATGCTACCTCTGACATTTTTAGCTCTAAGAACTCTGAATAATTTCTTGGTGTTTTTGTTTGTTTCTTTTGTTTTTTTCAAGAAAGGAGTTGGGTGAAATACTATATTATTGTGCCTTTTGGTTAAACCCAGAACGCAGATAGTGTAGTATTATATGATTTCATATGTTCCAGTGATATTTACCAATAAAAATCAACCCTTTTCGTAATTAATGTGACATTTGCCTATTTTCTAGATCCTCCAAAGGACAATGGTGGTTCAGAAATACTCAAATACTTGCTGGAGATTACTGATGGAAATTCTGAAGGTAAAGTTTTTGGAAATTGTTCAAATCCAGTAGCAAGCCCCATTTTCTAATATGATAAACATCTGTATCATAATAGTGGGCAATCGTTAAGTCTAATGATAGAGCTGTCACAATTAACAAACCTTCATCACATAGTGACAGTTTTTCTCTTTTCAAATACAGCATCAGGGAGCAGAGTGTGCTTGAAATGCGCATTTTTATCATGTTTTTAAATTTTCTGTTATTTCTTTAAACCAGAGGTCCTAATTAAGAGAATAATTAATTTAAGTTTTTCTTCTCCTCTTGGCACACTTTCTCTGGAAATTCTTGTAAGCAGAGAGAATGTCCAAAGCAATCAGCAGAAAGGATAAGGTGGAGGTAGCAACCGTTTGGTAATCTGCAAATTCCCATGTACATCATGACAAACTAAATGTATTCCTGTGGGCTAGTGACAAGTGTCACACCTTTATGACAGGTTTAGAAAATGTCTTTCCATCTTTGTTGTGACTTCTGAGTCAGATTATTTATTCATTATTTGCCATACTGTGGATTAAAGTAGGACAAATTTTGGATATCAAATTTCTTAAAGAATGCCTTTTCAAAAATTATTAGATCTTTATAATAAAATTCATTATGCTTTAATAAAAAAAAGTATAGTCATCAGAATTTTTAAAATGATTTATCTCACCATTCTAATCCTTGTAATCATTAACTTAATAAAAAAACAATACATACATATGGCAAAAAAGAAAGAGTTAACAGTAACTTGTACCAACTAGCAGTGGTGTGTGGCTTGCCTTTTATTCTGTACCACAATAGCCACCTGAGGTACTTTGTTTCTCATGTCAGTCAGGTCTTTTTTTAAGCTAAAGACGTGAAAATTCTTTGAGAGGGTCACAGCTGTTTTTAACATAAAATATAGGTTTTCGCTGCATTAGAAAACCTACCCTGGAGAAAAGGCATGTTTGTGGAGTGGCTCATATTGAAAACCTAAGTATATTTTGAATTTTCATGGCTTTCTAATCAGTAATGTCAGGATAACTGTCTATAATAATCTCCTTTCTCCCATGGCCCTAAGACGTGTAACTTAATTGTAAGTCTAACCTAATAAGCAGGTGAGGGAATTTGTGGAAGTTACTTGAGTAAAATATTATGGAATAGGGTAAAAATATTTTCCCTAAAACAATTTCACGGAGTAAAAGGCTTTTGTAAAACAGTCAACTGGAAACGTAGCATTAGTGAGAGCAAACCAGGAGGAAGAAACATCCTAGCAGCCCAGATTTGTGAGGCAACCAGTGGATTGAAGCAGCGTTTTCCCCGGTGGTATCAGTTTCATCCGGCACCCAGACCCCCTCCAGTGGCCCAGCGTACTTTCTTTAATCCCAAGAAGTGGTCAGATAACTGGGTCACACACTGTTTCATCTTTAATTTGTTACACTCCCAGGCACTTTTCTCTTTTTAAGTAGGGCTCCATGAAGACAGCAGTCCTTGACCCGAAGGAATCGGGTAATGAGAGGGTTTTGCCCACTGCAACCTCCTGGCAGGTAGTAGCAGGAAGAACCTCTTCAACAGTGCCCGAGCCTGACCAGAAACCTCATGGCTCGGCAGCCTTGCCCATGCCCGGCTGGCCCCGGAGGCCTCCGCATACTAGAACCATTTCACCATTGCCCGACTCGGTCCTCTGTCTCACGTCACCATTCCCCCGTGCCAATTACAGATTTTGTGTGGTTTCCAGCATCCCAGCCTCATCGTCAGAAAGTGTAATAATGGTGATATGAAGTAGTCTAGCCAGTAGTACTAAGTATTAAAAATGACTCCATGTTATTTTAATATTGAACTTTGTAAAGGAAATGGAAAGAGAGCCCTTTGGCTATTAAAAAAAAAAAGATGCTGGTTTTCATGGAAACCACTTAAAGCTTTTTTTAATCAGTTGATGGTTGATACTATTGCGTTTTTACAAAAGGCATAAGCTCATATGCAAGTCTGTCTTGTTTTAACAGCTAGTCAGTGGGAAGTGGCATACAGTGGATCTGCTACAGAATACATATTCACCCACTTGAAACCAGGCACTTTGTACAAACTCCGAGCATGCTGCATCAGTACTGGTGGACACAGTCAGGTTGGTTTTATTTTGGTATAAAAGTAAACATCTTTGGTCAAATCCAGACAACCTATCTATAACATGAGAGTAAAATTGCTGTTTAAAAATATATCACGATAATGCAACCTGCCATGGTATACACCAGGAAATGAAAACTAGAATTTTTTTGAATTGCGCTTTAGAGGACACCAAAGGTAGAGATAGGCCCAGAATTATTCTCAACTGAATTGAGATACATTCAGGCACATTTGTCACTTCGTTATTTCTTAGAAGACTTTGGTGGGATCACACATGACATTTGAAAAGGAGTGTTGTCTGGAATCTGTATTAGCTAAATAAGAGGAAGTAACTGTTACTGCAGTGCTAGAAAAGCATAGCATTTAGAATAAAAAAGATACGACTTCCTACACAGCGCTGCTGTCACCACATCTGGCAACTTTTGAGACACACCTTCCTCAAGTTACTTTACTGCCATCTGCTGGACAGTTATAAAAACCGTATGAATTTTTGTTGACTGAGCTGAATGGCACCTCCTGCAGTTGTGCACCGCCGAACTTGCACATCTGTGAGCAGCAGCCGATTTCTTGTTTTCTATTTATATGACCTTAGACCAGCCAGTTAAGAGCCTTGGTTTCAACCACAGTTTTCTCAGAGGCTCAAAATAAGCTCGTAAATACACAAGAAGTGCTCTTGAAGTGAGATAGTGTTGTCTAAATGACTTTAACTTACATTCAGACAGTGAGTGAGGGCCAAGGTGGTAAAAAGGCATTTTCATTGCGTAGATGTTTAACATTATGGTTTGAAACCATAATATTGAGCGAGAGAGGTTGAGAGAGATGGAGGCTCGTCATCCTGTGCTGGGTTGAGTTTTCAGGCAAATACCTGCCATTTGGGTGCCTAATTTCGCCAGTCAGGTCGCTTCCAGCATTAACTTGTGTTTATCCCATGCCCCTCCCTTAAAGATGGTGATACTGTGGTGTTTAGACTGCCCATACGGATACACTCTGTGGGAAGGAGGTCCAGTTGACCATCCTTATGCAGGCAAGAGCTCTCCGGAGCACCTCTCAGGGTGGGGTGTGTTCATACCAAAGCCACGGAGTACCAGCGGCACCTCCTGTGTGTGAGGCGCAGCTCAGGGTGACACAGAGGCCACACTGATGCCACTCAGCACCGAGCACACCTCCGCATCCCCTCTCCTCGGGAAGCATGAGTTTGGTGGCGCTGCATAGCTCTGCCTTGTTTTCTCCTGACTCAAGGGTTCAACTTCCAAGCCACCAGCTTTATACAACCAGTTCCTGCAAAAAGAAGGCTGTTTATTTTAGCATTAATTGAGCCTGCTGGTTAATGTCAGACTCAGTTGATTAATATTGACTTTATTTGCTTTTTCACTGTGTATGTGGATGGTTGGCCATTTATGATACCATTTAAAATTTTCATCCAGCTGTTGTTTTGTGTCCTCTTCTGTCTTCATGAAGGGTCTCTTTCATTTTGGCGGAAAGGAAAGTAGCTGTGTGCTTGGGATACACAACACTCATGTCACAAACCCGACTTCAGAAATAATCACTTTTACCAGCACCGCATGCAGTATGTGTGCGTGCACGTGCGCGCATACACACACACACACACACACACACACACACACACATACACACACACACACCCCTCACTGCATAATAAATCATGTGTGCACATGCAATGTGTAACCCCCCCTTTGGTTGGAATTAGTCTGGTTTGTAGAGGTCTAATGAATTCATGGTAACTAAGAGATGGTTCTCTCTGGTGTTTCTCCTGCAGTGTTCTGAGAGTCTCCCTGTTCGCACACTAAGCATTGCACCAGGTCAGTGTCGGCCACCGAGGGTTTTGGGTAGACCAAAGCACAAAGAAGTCCACTTAGAGTGGGGTGAGTGAACAAATCTTCCCATCGACATGGACTACTGGAGATTGAGTTTAAGACATAATGCTTTGTAATGAAGTTGGAAGTCTTCCTTCTGAAAACTTTTTTTTTTTCTGTTGAAAATGTCCGTATTCTTTTTTAATGTATGTTGGCTTGGGTTTGTGTTCTTGCCGTCGCTGGCGCTCACTCTCCTGTTCCTGATGGTGCCACACGTTCTGCTCAGCCCGTCCCCTCTGGAGGGCACTTTTCTAGAAAATGTGTTAGAGCAGCCAGGCTTTTTTCAGGAAATTTTCAACTTGATTCGTAAAAGAAAAGTTGTGCTCAGTTTAGACCGAGAAAATTAAACCGAGTAAATGGTTCATGAGGTAACATGTCGCTCCTCCTCATCCTGGCTGCTTTGTCCTGTGTGGGTCCTGGTGCTTTGCAGTATTGAGCAAGCTGTATTAGCATTTCTTGTGTCAGCAGTTCACAGCATGTAAAATTGCAAATATAAACCTGCAGAACTCTATCAGACTATTTTTTACCACCACTGTGTCTAAAATATAATAAAATACTGGGCCAACTTTGGGTCATTTATCTTGATTTAACCTGACCTTTGGTTTCAAGTTAAAGAGATTTCTCTGTTTTTTCCCTTCCCTTGCCTTATTGTAAAGAGATTTGCCTGGTGGTTCTATTGTTTTTAAATGATTAATATAATTAAATGGACTTAAATGGACTTGCTTTGGAAAGTATAGGTACCCTCATTCAGAAACTTCTTTTGTATCGCTCTTCTTTTTTTGGGTGGGTGGGGGGTGGGTGGGTTCTTTTATAAGAAAGATACAGAGGAGGGGCCACTTACATGATGTTTTGCAAACCTTGTGGAAAATCAGATGTGATTTTGTGTCCACTGGAAATGCACACATGATGTGCTGACAAACACCCTCCACTCCTAGATGTCCCTGCCTCAGAAAGTGGCTGTGAGGTCTCGGAGTACAGCGTGGAGATGACAGAACCCGAGGACGTAGCCTCAGAGGTGTACCATGGGCCAGAGCTACAGTGCACCGTGGGCAGCCTGCTTCCCGGAACCGTGTACCGTTTCAGAGTGAGGGCCCTGAACGACGGAGGGGTGAGTGTAAGGTTCTCACACTCCCATTCCCACCCTCCTGAAAATCCTCAGCAGCCTCTAGCCAACCTGGGCAGCCATTAAAGAATGTATATAAAATCTTCTTTCTGAGTTGACATATTGTGATTTTATGTTCCCAGCATTGGAAATTTTGTTTCTTTTGCCCTCATATGATTCTGTTACAGTAGAGCTCAAGGTTAATAAGAACATCACCTTTTGGATGAGTTTTGGTAGTTTTCAAAATATTAATAATTTCCTATTCACTCATTGACTCTTTTACCAGTTATAGGTGATTAGGACTTCAATAATACTCTTTTATCGTATTGTCTAAATTACTCAGTAATGCCTTAGATCAGTTTTTAAAACGCAAATGGGGTAATGGCTAGTGAGGTTCAAAACAAAATATTTTTGTTTCATTTCAAGTGAAGTCTAGAGCTCTCTGGCCCTTCCTTCTGCTGCTCCATTTGGAGTTCTCATGGTGGGTTATCAGAGTGAAAGTGTGCGTCTGTATGATATCCACAGAGGTGTTAGTTGTTGCTGCCGTTATTGTTGTTTTAAATTTCAGAGTGCTGTGGATTTGGGGAAGATTCGTAATGAGAACAAGGTGACCCAGAAACTGTAGGGCTTTTTGGTGTGTAAAGATGGGCAGAAACATGAAAGCAGGCAGAAGGGTATTGATAAAGCAGACTGCCGCTCAAGTCCCCCCAAAGTGCTAGTGCTTTGTGCAGATAAATTCCATGCAAATAAATAATATGTAATTAATTGATGAAAAAATTTAAACTAAGAAAGCCCAACTAACAATGACACAAAGTTGACGGTGACCTTTTTCTAAATCTTGGTAGACTTGTTGAAGTCTTTCAGAAGTGAAATGTGTTTTTAGTCCGTTTCATGTTAGCCACCACTGACGGAAGACATTGGGTCTGAAGGAGGATCTGCAACTTTTAGCAGGAGCTGGCTTTCTTCTCATTGCCTGTTAGGAAGGAATTTCAGACACACAACACAACTATCTAAATTACCCAAAATCAACAACGTGAAACTAAACAGTAAAAATGTATTGATGTGAAGATAAAGAGGCCTATGCCTCCGAACTTATAATTTTATAAATAAAAAGAGGATGGATGATGACAGCCGTAGGTGTTGCAGAAACTTGATCTTTTGTTTTTGCCCTTTCCCCCATCAGCTTTTCAGAAGATCTCTGCCATAACAGTGATGCAGCTGTCCTGATTTGAGTTTTACTTTCTCTCACCTTTAACTTATTGACGATGTAAAGACCTGTCTTTAGCCTTGGTTTATTCCTGTTATGTTGGAAGTTAACCATATATTTGACTTTTAGTCATCTTCTGAGGTCTGTGTCAGAGAGCTTCACTCCCACCCCAGCCTCCCATCCCTACCCAGTATATTTGCAAGTTGTGTTGGAAAAATGTGAGAGGTTTTTTGTTTTTTGTTTTAATATTTTTTCCCTATTTTGAAAAACATAGTCATGTACTTCATTAGCCTGGAATTTATTTTGTTCTCTTGGCCCCAACTCTTTGAAGTATCACATATTCCACTATTAAAATGGGTGATTATGGTTCTCTCGAACTGTTTTCGGTCTCCAGTGTCTGTTGGCCCTGAGTGGTGTGGTTACAGATGGTAATATAAAGAAAACAGGAGTGCAATAGAAACCTCCAGAAAGTTGAGATGGTGGGGCATGCTGAGAAAACATTACCAGGAGCATACGTTCTCAAAATGTCAAATTGCAATAACTGGAAGAAATACTCGGAATTTGATAACCAACAATTTTGAGTAGATTATTATGTATGAAAAATGGAACCGCAGTGTACATCTGACTTTATGTTCTTTGATGTCCTACACAAAATGTTAAAACAGGATGCCTGTTATGTGAAGAAGCAGCATATTTTTGTTTCTGATGTCACAGTACAGGAAAAATGTTTTGGTGAACCAACTCTCTAATCCATGTGAATAAAAAGAATGTGCATATATAGTAGACTTTGACCACTCAGGGAAATTATGCAGGGAAAAAACCTTACACACATTCATTTGAAAGTGAAAATGCCACTAGGTAATATTTTTCAATAAGTTGTATTGATGATGGTGTTAGCCTCGCCCTTATTTGGTTATAAGCTTGTATATGTATGATCACATATACTTGTGTGTGCACACATACATGCAAGGATGTGGGTTCTTCTCTTTCAGTACGGCCCCTACTCTGATGTCTCAGAAATTACCACTGCTGCAGGACCTCCTGGACCATGCAAAGCACCTTGCATTTCTTTTACACCTGATGGATGTGTCCTAGTGAGCTGGGAGGTAAGTCAGGCACATGTTCTGCATCAATTTTTGGTTCTTCTATTTTATCTGCAACTTGGTGCAAGTCAGGAGAAACCTGCAAAGCCAGAATTCACAGATAGGTGATTTTTACACTTGGCACTTGCTTATATCATCCAGAGTTGTGGAAATTTTTACCAGTGGTCAAAATTATCTCTTTCATGTGGGGTTTTTCTGGTTCCGTTCCTTTTTTGTACATATTTGAAATATCCTGGGGCACGATGTTCTCTTTTCCAGTTTGGTGAGTTGAACACAAACATCATAGTATTTTCTTCTCAATGAAATTAACTACCCGAATGTGTGCTTTCCAGAGTCCTGAAAGCTCCGGTGCAGACATCTCAGAATACAGGTTGGAATGGGGAGAAGATGAAGAGTCCTTAGAACTCATTTATCATGGGACCGACACGGGCTTTGAAATAAGGGCCCTGTTGCCTGCTGCCCAGTATTGCTGTAGACTCCAGGTAGGTTGGCATCACTCAGACTCACTTATAAACACTGGTGTCCCATGGAAGACTCTTTGGGAAACTCAAAGGCTTGTGATGGACACCACCAAGAGAGATGATGTGGGAAAAAAAGTCCTTTTAAGTAAAAATAAATTGAATTGCGGTGACATTTTACAGTTATTTCTGCTTCTCGAGGAGGGCCTGAAATATAAGAACAAAATCAGATTCTTTTCTGCTTTTCACCACCCTTGCATCTTGCTCGTTTATCAAGTCACTGAATAAGTGACTTGAGTGCAAGGCAAAGGTGTCATACAACTCCTTAGGGAAGACTCCTTCCCTGTCTGCATTCCCCTGAGATGCACATTTCAGTGGGACAGCCACCTAGCACCTGGCGAAAGGCAGAACGTTTATGTGCCAGCTGTTCAGTGGAGCCAGGAAGAAAAACATTAGAGGAATTTGGACTAGTCTGCATTAGATTACAGGACCCACCTCCTACTTCTGCTGACCATTAACAAGGCTGGTTATCTGCAAGCTTCCACCTGGGCGCCCAAATAGAATAACATCAAGAATAACACCTAACCCAACCCCCGAGAGTGACAACAGTTATGGGTTTACTTTTACTTTATTGGCTTGGGTAAATGATTTTTTCTCATTTTTATTGTCCTGAGAAACAGGGTTCTTTGTCCATTTCTTTCCTTTTATTCAGTAACGTTTCTTGAGCGTTACTTGTGCCAGAATCAAAGGATGACTGGGATGATCAAGAGGAGAGATACAGAGATTAGTCATATGTGGCTCTTGACCTTGAAGAAGAATTCTGTCATCACACACATTAGATTTAAATAAACAAAGAAGCAAAGATGCCAGGTTTAGGTTTCCACCTGATTTGAGTCAGATCAAATTGCTTCTTCTGAGTCCATGGACATCAGTGTCTCTGGTCTCTTCGGAGAAAACATTCCCTTCATAAGTTAATTTTCCAGATCAATGGAAGCTTTTCTGTTAAATTCTGAAGCCTACTTGATCATAACCATTCCTGAATAAGTTCTCTTATTATACACCTTCCTTCTCGAATGGAACACCTGGGACATAATTAACCCTTTGTCAGTGAGTCAGGGTCACAGCACGCTGTCCGATCTTCATAACAGTGATGCTGAGTCATTGGGACAAGGTTAAATTATATGCCACTCCTGTTTTTGGAACAAGGCAGGATATAAATAAAGAAGTGTCTGCCACCACAGGAAAGAACTTTTGCTTTTCAAGTTTTGGTCTCTCCTTAAAATGTTCTTGCTCCTTTTCTTCCAGGGGATATGTTGTCACTTAGCATTGCCCCTCCCCAAGCTGGATTTTAAGAGCTGCATTGATAACAATAGAGCCTGCATAGTGATCACGCCCCTGTTTTGACAGGTAGAAGTAGAAAATATTTTCAAATGTCTACAATTTTTTGTCTTAAAAAGAGTCAGACCCTGTGAAGGGGATAGTACTTTTAAAGCCACCATTGCTATTCTAAAGAAGTATCGCTGAGAAAAGTCTCCTCAGCCTCTATTGATTTCTTGGTGCCTATGAGCCAAGTATGAATTCTTTTCATTTAACATTACTACAAAGTCAGGTTAAACCCAAATATTCTTTTGAATATTGGTGCCTTAAAAATTAAATCACAATAATACCTATACTGTGTTTTATAAAAATTGGGTCAAACATTGCTTGTTCTGCTCAGGGATTTTTGAATTTTTATAGTCTTCCTTAGGAATATTTTAATTAACAAGTGCCAAAGTAATTCTGTTCACATGAGGCATATTGAATATTATAGGCATACTTTTATTTAGCAAAAGATGCTTTGAAATTCTTTCCTTTGAAAATCAAGAAAGCATTTCCCATGGAATAAAGTTAATAAAAGAAAGTGGGATCCTAGAATAGAAAAACAACATTATTGGAGAAACTGGTAAGATTTTATTCAGGTCTCTATGTAATTAATTAATACAGTTGTACTAATATTACCTCCCTAGTTTTGATCATCATTGTTTAGTTTTGTAAGGCAATATTTGGGAAAGCAAGGTAAGAGATACATGGAAATTTCTCTGAACTATTTTTGCAACTTGGATAAATCTTAAAATTAGTTCAAAATTTTAAAAGTTTTGTTTTTTGTTTTCTTTAGGTAGGGAAAATGCTATTTTGTTCTTCCTTTTCTCTATGGGAAGGAGAGAAGTGAAGCACTGACTAAAGCTCCAACTCTAAAAGCTGTTCTTTTTCTTCTATTTTATGTTGATAGAAAGCCTTAATATGAACATCGAGCTCCACTATGTTTTATTTTTCTGCTCTGTGATAAATTTGTATCCAGAAATAAAATCTCTAAATATATGCTGTTAAAATGAATTGTAGCATTAAATTTTTACCACACAGAAAGTTGAAGTATTATCATGAAATAGGACTAGATATGACAGAATGTTACAGTAGTGTTTCAAAAGTGATTTGATAGCAAATGAATGCTTTTAGCTTGTTTCTTTGAAATTAAGAGTGATACACATACATTGCAAGTTTTGTTTTGAACCTTTGATTTAAGAGTTCAGACTACTTTTTTCTAAGTTTTTTTTTTTTTTAATTTGTCCTCATAAGCTGTCCTATGAAGTAAATGAGAGCTAAATTTTAGAGTGCTTTCACTTTGGTAAAATTCACAAATGTTTTTCCTTTTATAAGGAAAAAAATATATTTTTTTAAATTTTTTTTTCAAAGATTTTATTGGGGAATTGGGGGCGGGGAACAGAGTTGGGGGATTGGGAAAGGGGACCAGCCAAGTTGTTGTTCTTCAATCTTTGTTGTGGAGGGCGCCAGTCACCATCTGGCTTCCCGTTGGCAGATTGTGGCCTCTAAGCTCAAGGTACTGTGTTCAATCTTAGTTGCAGGTGGGCGTAGCCACCATCCCATGCAGGAGTCAAACCAGCAGCCTTGTTGTTAAGAGCGCACGCTGTATTCACTGAGCCATCCAGGTGGTAGCTCAGCTCAAGGTGTCGAGTTCAGTCTTAGTTGCAGCTGGGCGTAGCCCACCATCGAACAGGCAATCTTGTTGTTACACCAGCTGAGCCATCCTACCACCTGTTGGCAGCTCAGCAACAGCTTAGTTCGGGCACAGCATCACTAGCCCATGTGGGAATCAAACCGGTGGCCCTTGTGCTCAGAGTTCACACTCTTAAGCCAACTCTTAATCAACTGAGCCACTTGGCTGGCCCCAGGAAAAACTATTTTTAATCACATTTATTGAGTACGTACTCTGTATCAGGTATTATTCTAGAGTTTCTAGGGATACATCTGTGAACCAAACAGATATGGGACTTACCCCTTGTGGGACTTACATTTTAACCAGGGCAGTAATTAAATATATACTGCGTTGGTGATAAATGCTATGGCGACAAATAAAGCAAAGAAGGGAAACAGGAAATGAGGAGGGTTCTAGGGGTCTGGGGGTGGGTGACTGCAAGTTTAGATCTGGTGTTCAGAGAGGGCTCATTTAAAGGCAGCACTTGAAAGAAGGCCTGTAGGAGATGATCGAGTGAGCTGTGCAGAAGTCTGAGGAAAAGATTTATGATCAGAAGGGGCAGCGAGTGTAAAGGCCCTGAGGTGGGAGCACACTTGGTGTCCCTGTGGGATGTCAAAGAAACCAGTGTGGCTAGAGCAGAGTAGGGGGTGGGAGGAGATGAGTGGGTTATGAAGTCAGAATGATGATGGCTTTTTTGGGAGGGTGGTGGTGGTGAGCAGATCAGACGGGTCTTGTAGGCTGTTGTGAGGACTTCAGAGTTTATTCTGAATATGGTTTTGGAGGCCATTGAAGGGATTTGAGTAGGATCATTCTCAACCACTCTTGCTGTGAACAGAGACAATGGGGCGAGGGTTGACACAGACACGAGTTAGGAGGTCATGACAGTGACAGATGAGAGAGAGTGTAATTCGACTGGGATGGTACAGGATGGGCTCATGGCCTGGCTCAGGGTATGAGGGGAAGATGTCCAGTGGTGACTCAGATATATGACTTGAACAGCCTGAAGGATAGAGACAACTACAGGAGGTGCAGTGAGGTTTTTGGTGAAGAGAGACGGGGTGGAGATGAGGAGTTGTGTGGACACTTGAGTTTGAGATGCTTATTTGACTTTCAAGTGGAGATAGCCAAAAGGCAGTTGGATACATTAGGCTGACATTCAAGGCAGAGGCCCAAGCTACACAAACAAATTTGGAAGTAGGATATAAATGTTGTTTACCCCCTGAGACAAGATGAGGTTTTCAGGAGTTTTAGCAGAGGTAGAAAAGATGTCCAAGCCCTGGGTGCACTCTGGCATTGAGAGATATGGGTGATGAGTAGCAACAAGCAAAGGTGATTGAGAAACAGCAGCAGGTAAGTGAAACAAGAGATGCCTCCTTCAGACCAAGTGAATGAGCTTTTGAAAGAACAATGAGTGATGGAGGTGTCAGCTATGGCTCTCAGGTGAAGTCAGACAGGACTGAGAATTGATTTCAGATATGAGTTAATCATTCACGTGGGAGACAGTAGAGATCCTTTCTAAAAAAGAAAAGATTCCTATTGTTTGTCCAGGGCAGCGCTACATTTAAAAGTCAGATTACTGAGTTCCAGCTTTGCCTCCGTATCTGGGGCGCGAGTTAGTTACTCTGACTTGGAGTTCCCACCTCTGTGAGAGGCAGATTTTACTGCCATTTACTGTCTGCCTCAGAAGGTCATTGGGAAGATCGCATGAGACAGTATGTAACCTGCATTGGGCATGCACATATAAATAGGGTTAGTGTACAGTTATTTCTCATAAAAGGTGATGACGGCAATGTTATTATCTTTGGCTTTATTAACAGTCAAGAAGTGATTGGCATTTTTTGGAAAGTGGACATTAGGTCAAAGTGAACATTTTTTTACAATTTATTTCTATATATACCTGTTTCTATAGTAAATTGTATGTTACTTTGGATTCACTTAACAGCACCAAATGTGGAGGTATTAGAATATACAGTGGGGTCACATGGCCTTTGTCTTGCTGTTGTCTTTTAGGCCGTCAATCAAGCTGGAGCAGGACCGTACAGTGACCTTGTGCTTTGCCAGACGCCAGCATCTGCCCCTGACCCCGTCTCCACTCTTTGTGTCCTGGAGGAGGAGACCCTCAGTGCCCACCCTGGTTCACCTTCTGTGTGCCTTGTATTGAACTGGGAAGAGCCGTGCAATAATGGATCTCAAATCCTGGCTTACAATATTGATCTTGGAGACACTAGCATCACCGTGGGCAATACCACCACCCACGTTCTGAATGATCTCCTTCCAGAAACCACCTACCGGTGAGTGAAGGGAAAAAGCAATAAAGCTGCATGGACACATCAGCCCTGGGTCTGCAGACCCTTTCAGTTCTAGAGGCCACATGAGTGAATTCTAGCCATTCTTAATTAATATATTTAAGAGTACTAAATGCAAGTATAGCGTTAAGACTTGTATTGCTTTATACTTTATGAGTCAGTTTCAAATTGATGCAATTTCACCTGCCACTTTAAATCAGTTGCTCCCTCTTGGTAACCAACCACTTTCCTTTGTGTTTTTACTGTGATTCATCCTTCTGTGTACAGCTTTTGTCCTGTGTACAGCCTTTGTCCTCGCCTACCTCTGCAATTCTTCTGACTCCCCAAAACAAGCACAGTGTTGCAAAGAATTTGTGATGAGGCTTTTCCTCAGGATTTCACAAGGGGCCGGACAAGAAGTTCCCTCACACACCGCCCAGCAAAACTCCATTAGCACCTGCGTTCTTTTCCCAGTGTCCCTATCGGGAGCCAGCCACCTCACTTCCTCTTCTCACACATCTTTTCCTTCACCATGGCCTCAAATTTCAAATCATTTAGCTCTGTGTCCCTGTGTTGCCATAATTCACTCAAAGTAAAAAGTTTACGATCAACATTTGAGGAGTACAGGAATCACCTGTGGTTGGTTATTCAGGTGGCCCTATCTGGACATCTCCCCTCCCCTCAAGGAGGTGAAGGAGAGCATAGATTCACATTCAGGTCATCAGCTGTATCTTTAGGCAAGTTACTGGGCTTCTCAGTGTCTCAGTTTCCTGTTCCATAAATGAGGAGAACAGGATTACTTACCTCAGAAGATTGTTGTAAACAGTAAATAAATTAACATGAAATGCTTACCTAGAGCCCAGCAGTATCTATCAAGTGGACGGTAAACATACATTGTAATTTTTGTCACCATCAAGAGAACCATCCAACAAAATGAGTTCTTCCTGGTTGGGGGGCGGGGCGGGCAGAGGACAGAGTGCAGGGCATGCAGAGAAACTTGCAGCTGGAAAAAGGTGTCTTCACTTATTTTTTTTCTGCAGTTTTTTCTAGTTGAGTGGTCGGGTACAATACCATTTTTATCCCCAGAAGCTGATGAAAGAATCAGCTAATCAGTTATAAGAGACAAAAGTTCATCCTGCCATATCATATTATCTCTACTGTTTTCTTCGCTCTTCCCCAGTCTTTTGTGAATAATTTATATAAGTATAATTCATTTTGCTTTTCAGAACAGTGACGGTGTTTTTGTTTGTTCTACTCTTTTATTCTTTTAAGAAATCTCTTTGGGGCACAGTTCTGTACACTGCATGCAGGTTTATAAAACAGCAACAAACATCTTTTTTTCCCTCAGAGCACTCTCCGGATTGAGGGACACTTTACTAGGAATCGAAGATGATAGGTTATTGTGACATCACGTGCTGAAAATAACACTGTTTACACAGTCCTGTTGACATTTCAGAGAAGACTCAGGGTTCAGAATGGGAAGGATGGTTCAAAGTGGGATTTGAAATAGAAACGGGATAAAGAGGGACATAACTTACATAGATGAGGAGGCCGAGGGCATTCTCTCAGTTTTAGCCTTTTAAGTCAGTCTCAGAAAAGCAGTCCTCACTCTTGTTTATAACCAAATAGCAAGTGCCCATTGTGTCCAGAGCACTCTGGTCAGGTGCTGAGGAAATCAAGAGATGATTAAACCTGGTCCTTGACCTCAGGGAATTGCCCAGTGACAATGCTCTAAGGAAACCTGACTATGAGATCTAATTTCTGGGGGGAAATGACCAAGTGATCAGCATCCCCCAGCTGTTCCTAAAAGACAAGGACTCCAGAACTTTATCTGACCTTGATCCCTCGGGCCAGAAAACCTATGAAGAAGCCACACTGGTTCAGAGACTCACTGAAAGGCTTTGTGTCCATACTGATTCACAACCACATCTACCCCAAAGGGACGCAGCTCCCTCAGCTCAGTCCTCTGAACATTCGGCTCAGAAACCATAAAAGGGCTTTTAAAGGTGTTAGCTGAGGAATTTCACTTCTTCCTGACGTTGTGCTTACCTTAAAGGTGTCTTAGATGATTGTAGACTTGAAGCATTATAGGAGGACGATATTGGAGGAATGCTGACTTTTATTAGTCGATGTATAGTCAAATGACAGTTGAATACCTTTAGAAAGTACAAGACCTTGGCTCTTGTCCTATGTTTTGCCCCCCCCAACCCCCCCCAAAAAAATATTTAGCTTAAATCTTTGCTCGTCAGTTGGTAAATAAATTGGATGTTTCTAATTTAAGATATTAAGATTGATATTATTATTTAAGCTCATCTTAATACAGCTTTATACTAGTTTCTATTGTACATGATTGGGTTCTCTGTACTATATATAGCTCTGGTCAATCACAGCCTTGTTTTTTTGTTTCAAAAACACAATTGCAATAATTACAGAAAAACACAAGATGAATATTTCAAGGAACTAAAGTGTAATTTTGGTCCAATCAACATTTACCTCACGTTTTTCTGACCCATAAGTTGGTTAAAACATACAGAGAACAGATCATGATGTTCTAGATAAAAATATGGAATGCAACATTTTAAGCAGTCCGTGGGGCTTTGATAAAGGACTTGTTTCTTTGGAGGGTTTTTGTTTGTTTTAACATTCAGCAGTTACAAATTGTTCTCACACTGAGTTTTTTCTTTCTCTGTCTTATGGGGACAGAAATGTGCACCTCTCTAGAAAACCTATTGATGCAAAAGGGTTTTTAATAGATACATTGCCTTTCCATTAGTGCTTGAAAAAATACCCATTGGCTTACTGATGCCCCATATGGTATTTGGTTGGAATTACAATGCCCCTTTTAAAGGCATTATTTTTATGCTTAGAATAGAGTTCAAACTGAGTTTATGTTCTGGTTTGAGAGGGGAAATGTTACTCCTAACAGAGACGTAGCTTTCCTTTTCATGCTTCCAGCCATGAGGTCATAGTCTTTGCAAACTAAGGGAAACAAGATCACATGGCATTGCCCCTTCCCAGTGCCCTGGCTTGAGCATCTCCAGTCCTCGGGCAGTGGTCCCAGTTTGTAATCATTAGGCAATCCATTCCACCTGTGAAGAACTATTTTGTTAAAACCTCTCTATATCTAAAATCTATGCACCTGATTCTGGGCCTTCCTCTGAAGCAATGGTTCTCGGATTGTTCCTGGACCAGCAACACCAGCATCACCTAGAAACTTGCTAACATGCTAATTGTCAGGCCCTCCTCCAGACCTACTGAAACAGAAACTCAAGAAGTGGAGTGGCACTCTATGCTTTAAATAGCCCTGCAGGAGATTGTGGTGCATGTTGAAGTCTGAGAGCCTCTGCCCTAGAGCATTGATTCTTGAATGTTAACTATATAAGTAAAAATCACCTGGAAGGAACCTTTTGTGAACCACAGAAGTCTGAGCCCCACTCCTGCAGATTGTGGTTTAGAGGGCCCCAGAGGGTGCCTAGTCATCATTATCTTCCAATGTCGGCCGTCTCCTACTTAAGCATCCTCGCTTCATTCAGATAAGTGCTCACTGGCGTGGGTTTTCTGTAACCTCCTTCACCCTCTTCACTGGGTAGATTTTGTTTCCTGATTGCCTCTTGGAGGAACACTACCCAAAACAAACCTCCAGGAACAGGCGGGCTGGCTGGTTCAGAGAAGAACAAGACTGTCACCTTACTTGTCTCCAAATGGAGCAGCTAGTTTAGTGAGGCTGCCTTAGATTACTTTTTTTGGCAACCTCGTTATATGTCTGACTCATACTGAGCTGGCAAACAACTAAAGGTAGATTTATTTGTTATGCTCATTTATGCTTTTTGCTAGGTAAAAATGAGGCTGAAAATAACATGTATTGAGTCCTTACCCTATGTCAAGCACTACATTAGCCTGTCAAGTGAATCATCAATCATTTCATCCTAACAAGGTGAGGCAGGCTTTATTAGACAAATTCTGAGTAGTTCAGAAGCAGCACACTGGAGTCAAACAGCCTTGACTTTAACCCTGGTCCCTCACTTATTATCTCTGTGACCTCAGGCAAGTCATTTCAGCTCTCAGTGCCTCAGTTTTCTGATCTGTTAAATGAGGATAATTCCAACTGATTGAATAGGGTTGTTGTGTGTTTTAGGTAAGATTTCAGGCACTGAGTATGGGACCTGGCACCCTGTAAGTAAGCACTCAATAAATGGTGTGTTGCTAAAGGTTGGCGTTGTGACCAGATTCTAGGTGGAAGTGTCTAGAAATCAGGCATTATCCTTCAAGCAATGGGAGACACTTGAGGGTTTTTTTTTCCTGTCAAAGCAGGGCATGGAAAAAAAAGCAAGTCTAAGTGCCTGGAGACAGAATGGTGGACCCAGTATCCAAGGAGCTGTCAGGAGAAGCAGCTTGGTGGTGGTGGGGCTGAACGTCAGCCAGCTCAGGTTACCCTTCTAGGAGCCTTCCCTGAGGAACTACTTTGAACGTACCCTTGTCCCCCAAAGAGCTTCCTGTGTTAAAGCTACCATTTTGTATTCCTTTAGAACTTATCTGCTGGCTATTCTTTTCCTTCATATTTTTCTCCTTACTTAGATGGTAGATGGGTGATGGGAAGGGGTGCACAAAGCCCACCTTTTGCTTCTTAGTCCTCTCATACCCAACCCTTCATGGGGGAAGGGAGGCTATTCCATCCCCCCCACCCCCACCCCCGCAACCTACATTTGAACCATCCTGGGTACTGGGATAGCTAGCCCTGACTGAGAAGTCACCTTCCGGAACACTTGAGGAAGGTTGGTCTTGAAAGTCGTTCTTCTTTTCATACGTAGAGTGTCAGTAATTTGATTTTGTGTGTGTGCATATAAAACGCATAATGGAAGGCTATGATCTCCTAAGCAGGAATGTGGCATCTGGAATTAGGAGGTATTTTAATAGTGGATTTTCAATAAAAATTAATAAAGAATGTGCTTCTTAATTTGATTTGTTTAAGCAGTATTATCAGTGTGTTGATGGATGTTGCATACTCC